GGGAGGTCGCAGGCTAGGGGAAGGCCGCAGAGGGCCCAGCATTCCGGCTCTCAGGTCCCCGGTGTTTACCTCGCTCCGTCCAGGCGCGCCGCGCGATTGGGCGAGCCGCCTGTCAGTCGCTGGGGGACTTTCCCAGGGGTGGGGCGGCCCAGCCCCCGGCACTTCCTCGTCTTCTGCCCCATCCCCCAGCCCCAGCCCAGGAGCCTGAGAGGCGCTGAGGGGCCGGCCCCTCGCCCGAGCCGCTGCCCTGTACCCCCGGACCCGAGGCTGGACGCGGTGAGCGGGACGCTGTTCCCCCAGATTCCCGCCCTCAGGTAACCCGGCCGGGCCGGAGCGGGGATGGGGCGGAAGCCGGGACCCAGGTCGTTCAGAGCTTTGGCAGTGACCCAGAGTGGACTGGGAGGCCGGGTCGGGTGGCCTGGGTCCCGGGTCTTTAGCGCGCGAGGTCCGAGGGCGTCTCCCGGAGTAGCAGGGGCCCGGCGGCGCCAGGACTCCCAGCCCGGCGCCGACGGTGGCGGGGGACGCGCGTGCGCACTGCGCGGGCAGCGCCTGGAAACTGCCGGAGGCGGTGCGCGCGGCGCTGCGGCCCGCTGTTTACGGTATGGAGGCCGGTCGCCTGTGCGGGGTCAGTGGTTTGGTGTCAAGTTTTGGAAGCGGTGTGCGCATATAAAAATTAAGAATACAATAACTCTTAGTGGGCGCTTTCCAATTGCTGTTCTAAACACTTTACGTGTATTAAGCTCATTTAATTGTCACATTCATCCTAAACGTCAGTATTATTATGCCCATTTTACAGTTTCGAAAACATGGGGACTTGGAAATTGGGGTAACACAGCTTACGAGTAGCAAAGTCAGATTTGAGCTCAGGCATTTGGCTCCACAGTCCCTGCTGAACTGTCATATTTTGCATGCACACTGTTGGAGACATTTGTGTCCTGTGCAGGGTAGATGAAGTGAGTTTCCGGGAGTGATTTTGGGGATGCTCTGAATGAATTTTCCTCTGTAGGATGTGTGTGTGTGTGGAGGGGATAGTGTGTATGGAAGTGGTTGCATTATACATTCATTAAACTGTGTACAGGAGTGGGTGGGAATTTTGTGTGACGGGGAGAGGTTGTGTTTTGGAAGGGGGAGGGAGGGACTTTTGTGGATGATGCAGAAGAGCTGACATCCATCCCCACCCCCTTGCAGAATGACAGTGCAGGGAAGTGTGTGGATTCCTAATGCATCATTTTTCTTTTCACAGTTAATCAGCACTTACTCATTTTCCAAACAATGGGGTGTGAGAGAGGGGAATTTGATACCTGATGAGAGGTCAGAAAAGGGGACTCAGAATTTTTTTTTAATCCTTGACAATGGATGTTGTATTAGGAGGGTGGAATATTTATTAGTGCAAACTCATAGCAACTCAGTGATGTTGTGTTATATCCTTACTTTGCAGCAGAGCAAACTGAAACAGTAAAAAAACTGATATGATAATACTTATAGCTTTGTTTTACAAACACCATATGCCAGCACAGTGCTTTGCATTCAGTATCTCATTTAATGATCTATGAGTAGTAACCTCAATTTTCAGGTGAGGAAACTGAGGCCCAAAGAGGTTAAGACTTGCCCAGGAGGCTTGACACCTGTGGCTCAAGTGGCTAAGGCGCCAGCCACATACACCTAAGGTGGCAGGTTCAAATCCAGCCCAGACCTGCCAAACAATCATGATGGCTGCAACCAAAAAATAGCCAGGTGTTGTGGCGGGCGCCTATGGTCCCAGCTACTTGGGAGGCTGAGGCAGGAGACTCACTTGAGCCTAGGAGTTGGAGGTTGCTGTGAGCTGTGATGCCACAGCACTCTACTCAGGTGAACAGCTTGAGGCTCTGTCTCCAAAAAAAAAAGGACTTGCCCAGGACTAGTAAGCTTTGAATCCTAGGCCCTCTTCCCTTTCCTCTGACCACGGAGGCTGTGGTAGCTGTGTCCTGGGAAAATAATGTGATCAGGGACTGACACTTCATGGAAGTGCTTGATCATGCCTCTCTGGAAGCTGTAGCTCGGACTGTCCTGTGTTGTACATACTTATGTGTCCATGTTATCTCCCACCCATGGATATCCCCTGGGTATTGCATGGCACTCATGCTGAGGCTTGGTGCCTGCCCCTCAATGCCCATACCAGGTTTTTTGGGGCCCCAGGAAACTGGGGAGTCTGACTCATACCTTTAACCCCAGTGCTGCCTGTGACTTGGGGCTCAGATGTCCTGATTGGGTCAGGCCAACCCGATTTGAGCAGGGCAGCATTGTAGGAGGCTGTTTTTCTGCCTCCTCTCCAGCCCACTGGTTACTGTTTAACTCCTGCATTCATTGGGATTTAGCTACGCTGTGCTGGCCTGCTTTTTCCTCTCTAACACGTCAAGCTTGTTCTCACCCTGAGGCTTTCATAGGTGCTCTTCCCTCTGCCTAGAAAACCTTTCCCTCCCTCTTCCCATGGCTAGTTTTTCCTTATCTGTCAAGTCTCAGCTCAAATGTCACCTTCTTAGAGGGGCCTTCCCTGATCTTTCTATGCAAAGTAACCCCTTTTTTCACTTTCTGTCACATTACTATTTTAATTTTTTCATACATTCATCTGCTCTGAGATAATCTCCTCTGTGACTGAGAAAACATATATGTACAGAACTTAGCGTCTGTACATATCATAAATACACACTGTAATTTGAAGTGTGTATTTATTTATTATTTTTCTCTTTCCCTGTAATATAAGGGTGTGAACAGGGACCTCTTTAGTCTTCATGTATATATCCCTGATAAGAAGACTGTCTTGGGTGTGGCTTTGCTGGTTTTATCCAATGAATGAGTAAAATAGAAGAAACCAGAGTGATTCTATTACAGATGAGGAAACTGGGGCCTAGAGATGGTAGGCAGGATCAAATCCAGAATCTGGGCTCAGTGCCTATAGCCCAGCAGCTAGTGCTCTGGCCACATATACTGGGGCTGGTGGGTTTAAACCTGGCCTGGGCCTGCCAAATAACAGTGACAACTACAACAAAAAAATAGCTGGGTGTTGTGGCAGGGGCCTATAGTCCCAGCTACTTGGGAGGCTGAGGCAAGAGAATTGCTTAAGCCCAAGAGTTAGAGGTTGCTGTGCCCTCCATGATACTCTATGGAGGACAGCAAAGTGAGACTGTCTAAAAAAAAAAAGAAAAGCCAGAATCTGCCCTTTCATGGTATTCTCCACTTCTGATAGTTAGCAGACATTTCCTGATGGCCCCTCTGTTCCCAGACGGTAGTGTTCATGACTCGGAACACTATGTACTGGCTCTATCCTCCAGGAACTTTTATCAAATGGGGAGAAATGTGCTATGAGTGCTACTGGTAGGCATCGTGTGCCATAAAGTGGCTGATAAGTCTGGCCAGTGTAACTCTTGACTGCAATCGGGAGTAATATGGGAGTGCCGGGGTTGTTGGGAGGGGGGGTTCTGGTTGGAAGTGACTTCAAGGCCAGATCTTAGAAAAATGCTGGTTCTCTCCTGGAACTTAGTAGACGGGGCAGAAGATTTTGAGAAAGATTCCCCTGGGTTGACAGGCCGACCAGGTGGGCTGGGAAAGACCCTAAAAGGTCTGCATAGCAGTCTTTTTATGAACAATGTTGACAGCATTGGGAAGTGGTTGGAACAGTTGGTTCACAGAATTGCCTGTGCATCAGAATCACCTGGTTGGGGGGCTTGTTAAACACAGATTGCTGAGCTGTAGTCCCAGAGTATCTGATGCAGTGGGTGGCGGTGATGCTGATACTGCTTGTCCAGGCTGTTCTTTGGGAACCCCTGGTGCAGAGTATGTGCCTCAGTGCTTGGCAGAGTTGGTTCACTGCTGCCCCTGTCATCCTAGGCCCCTGCTTCTTAATCTGTAACCTCCGTATGATGTTAGAGTTGCCTCCTAGAGGGGTGGGAATTCACGGGAATGAATTAATGCAGGGCTCATACACGGCAAGCACTACCTGCTGTTATTGTGAATGATGCTAATAATGAGGCTGTTGAAAGGATTTCAGTAGGAGGTGACAAGGATGGTCCAGTTTTCTGTGCTCAGGATAATTTGCTACAATGGTTTGAATGTGTTGCCCAAAAGTCCATGTATTAGTAGCTTAAATCCCTGTGTCCTTGAGAATGGATTAATGTCATTGTCACAGGAGTGGATTATAAAAGGGGAGGGTTCAGTTGATTCTTTGTCTTGCTTGCTTTCACTCTCCATCATCTGCCATCTTCAGCCTCTGAAACCATGAGCCAAATAAACTAATGTTTTATTTTGTTTTTATAAAATTACCCAGTCCCTGTGATATTCTGCAATAGCAGCAGAAAACAAAGGCACTTGCCACCCTGTGGACCATGTTATCTCCTCTCTAGATGGAGCATCCTTTGCTTTGTTTCAAACATCTGCACTGTTTAGAAGACACCTGGCCCGAATTCCCTCCACAGCACCCGGTACCCCTCTGCTTGTCCCTAGCCCAGGACCAGGGAGCTCTCCAGCTCACAGGAAGCCCCTCCCAGTGTTGTTACAGACGTCTTTCTTTTGTGGGCTCACCTCAGTTCAGGCTCTTCCCTTCTTAGCTCCATCTTTCCCCCTTATTGCTCACCTGACCTCTGTGAGGCAGGGAGAGAGGTTGGGCAGTGGTTTAGTGTAGTAAGAGAGTACACAGGTGCCACCAGAAGACAGGGTTTGCTTCCCTTCTGTGCCACTGCTGTTCCATGCAGCTCTTGGCAGGCCTCTTCCCTTTGCTGGCTTCGGTTTTCCAGGTGCAAAATGAAGGGGTTACACTTATTGACATCTCAGGGCATTCTCTTCCAGCTCTTAACTCTAACAACTAAGGGTTTGGGTTCCTCTCTCTAGTTCCAGTGGCTCCTAATCTCCTCTTGCTGGGCCAGGCCTTTCTGTGTCTACCCTCCTAGCTTTTCACTGCTGCCTCCCTCGTGCCCGCAGTGCCTGCCCCTCCTGTCCCTGGCCATCTGTGCAGGGAGGATATCCAGGTACCCTTTGGAGACTTGCCATAGGAAGGCACAGGGCAGCGCAGACTACCTCTGCTTGTTCTGTGGGGCAGCATGGCTCTCAACTCCTAGAAACAGACTTTGGAAGCCACTGTGACCATTGTGGGAAGTTCTTGATGATTTTCCCATGACTGGCCCAGGACAATCACTCTTCAGATTGGAACAGATGACTAGTGAGGAGCAGCTGGTTCTTTGTCTTGAGGGCTGTCCTAGGCGGGGCTGAGGCCTTCTCTCCCAAAGCCCTCACCCCTGAGGCTGTTCCTTGAATGGCAGGTGCCCTATGTCCCTGGCATCTATGT